CTGCCGACGGCTAGCTGTTTTGGAACTAGCGGCCATATATATATATATATATATATATAAATATATATATATAATATATATATATATATATATATATATTATATTATATATATAATTATGGAATTACCGGGCGCATGCACCCACATCGATCCACGCACACGCGCGCAGCCACGCACACACGCACGCTCTACGTGTACTCACACACACACGCACGCGCGCGCGCTTCAGGCGCACACACATACACACAACACACACACACACACACACACACACACACACACACACACACACACACACATACGCAGAGCGAGAGACAACACATACGCATGCCACAGACACCACACGCGCGCACACACCGCGCTTCGCCAAATGATAAACGATCTTGTATGTAAATGCTCTTTTATAACGCCTGAGATAAGAAAGAGAGGAAGGGTGAGAGAGAGAGAGATGGATAGAAAGAGGAGAGAGAGAGAGAGAGAGAGAGAGAGAAGAGAGAGAAAAGACCGAGAGCCCAACTCGAGAGAGATAGAGAGGAGAACGAGAGAGAGAGAGAGATGGATAGAAAGAAGCGAGACAGAGAAGAGAGAGAGACGAGAGAGGATGAGGAGAGAGGCGGTGGCGCGGAGGGGGCTCGGGGGGGGGGTCTACGCGGAGTAGGGTCCGCGACCACGCGCTGCAGGATTCGGCGGCCCCGCGGACGGTATACGAGCGATCTGCGAAGAGACGGTACGAGACGGAAAGGAGAGGGCCTGAACGAGATGAGGAGAAAGAGAGAGAGCTGGAATAGAAGAGAAGAGAAGAGAGATGCGATAGCAAACACAAAGAGAGAGAGAGAGAGAGAGAGAGAGAGAGAGAGAGAGATGGATAGAAAGAGAGAGAGAGAGCAGGAGAGAGAGAGAGAAGAGAGAGAGTGAGAACGATGGATCGAAAGAGAGAGAGCACGAGTCAGAGCAGAGTATAAGAGAGAGAGAGAGATGATAGAAAAGAGAGAGAGAGAGAGAGAGAGAGAGAGAGAGAGAGAGAGAGAGAGAGAGAGAGAGAGAGAGAGAGAGAGATGGATAGTAAGAAAGACGGGGATGTTGAGTGGTGGGTATCCGGAATCACCATCAATCAGGATGCGTTTTTGATCACAAAGCAAGTGAGCTGCGAGTGATGCGT